ATTTTATTGTGTTATCATAAACATTGTAATACTAATTAATTATAAGTATTATAAGTATTAATATATTATATTACTATAGTGTATAAGGTCTATGTGTGCTATTAATGACTCTTTATTGAAGAAATTTGATAATTCTTGCTATTATAATAAGGAAGACTTTTGTATTAACCTTTGTAATAAAAAAATATATTTGGATACCACTTTTCTAAGCGTTAATACTATACATATACTATACATATTACTGATATATATAGGTGATACTAGTTGTTTTAACACATAAAACTAATCCAAGTCTATTGCTAGAATAGTGTGGAGTTTATAATAAGTTTTATTTAGTTTAGTTTATGATGACCTAAATCTAAGTTCGATATTTAACATGTTTCTTATTTGTTTCAGATGCAACAATATTGACGGCGAGACCTTTAAGAAATTAAATTACAGGCACAATCGTAAGTAGTATTTTCTATTACATTGAATTCAATTTATACCTAAATTTGTACCTTAGTAGATTGTTACTAGCTAAAAATGATTAAACGTTGCAATATAGCTAAAAAATATATATCAAAATTATATATTACGTATTTGAAGTACGAGAAAACAGTATTATCTAAGATTTACAGGTGCCTTAAAATACCCCAGCGTCTATAATTTGTGAAAGCAATGAATTACTTGTGGACTTAAAACCCGCATACAATTTAAGCTGTACCAGCGTTTAGAGCTAAAACAACCGCACAATATTGGCGATAGTACGAATCCACGTTAGAATGAATGAAATAGTTGACCGAAACAATAAACTATAAATTTAAATTGCAAGCTTATCTCATATATTTCTTTTCAAGATAAGATTATAGTAATCCATGCTAGTTACCTAATTCTATTCAAAAGTTCAAAAACACATATATGATTTTTTTTATTAATTTGCATATATAAACATGGTTGATAAAAATATACTGAACACAACTAAGATTATACTTGTTATAACGCGACCAGCAAAACTTCCTTTAAAATACGGTTCGGCAACATCGTAATTGCAAAGTCTTGTTTCACATTTTTTGCAGTAAAATACATCGATATGTTGCTCTTCTTTTTCCTTAAATAAAAGATAAAAATATAGTTTTAGAGCAAGACTAAGTTTAAATTTTTTAAATTACTCAATTATATATATTTGATAATTTTTTAAAGAAATTTTTTAAGAAGAATGATCAGTTTATATTATTTCATCAATAACTTATTATAATGTAGTCCCATAGTAGGTGTATTAATTTATTACTCATAAAGTACTGTTTCTTTAATGCTCTTTAGTTATGACGCATAATGTAACATATACGACTTTGAAAATTTAGTAATATATGGTAATAGACTATCATGCTCACTAACCTTAGTCAATTTGTCACATCCTTCTTTATCAGAACACATCTTCTCATAAAAAAAATCGAACTCGTGCCTGCCTCCAAAGGCAGCCATACATATTTCGCCTTCTTCGCATTCAATCGAGATTTCGCAATCCGCTCCTGTACAATTGTAACACTGTAAGGAATCTCCTCGAATAACAATTGTCAACCCGAATATTGTCAACAGAATCAGCAAATCCTTTAATCGCATATTGATTTTTATCCCACCTGTAAATATATGGATGAACAACGATATTGTTGATTTCATGTTTGCAGTATAATTATTTAATTTACCTAATCAAAAATTTGGTGTACTAAAATTTATGACAGATACATGTTTGGCATTTGTTTGGCAACTCGTTGACATATCAACTACTTTCTAATGATAGAATGTCTGATAACTTAACTAACTTATATGTCGTTTAACTTATCTAAAATACCCACCGCTAGAATTAACAATTTTGATAGCAACAAACGAGATTTTGAATTAATATTTCATACGCGAATACAGTAAGAAAAGTTTTGGCAGTTTACAACTTGATAACACATAGGGGAATAAGTATATATATCAAGTTTATGAACTCTATATTTCATTAGTCTGTTATCGGATTAACGCCATGCATTTCCGTTTAGCTAATTAATATGTTATTTCCTACTTTGTGCGCTAAGTGACTAATTTAATATGTATCCTCTTCTTGAAAATAAAATAAATCATGTATAGGATTTATACACTTTGCCCAAAAGTTACTCGGGATATATGCTTTGAATAAACTTTGTAATTAGGATAATTTTTAGAACACGAGGCAATTAGGATTAGGCTTCGGATTACTGCAAGAAAATTTATAGGAAAGTAATTTTAAACACTTCATTTACTGATACATCGTTACTTGAGGTTAATATAACTTTATGGTGACTAATTTGAAATGTTTATTATTCTTAAAAATTATTTTACTATTTTTACAATTTTTTAAAAACTTGTCATCTGTCCCTTTCCATATTGCCATAATTTTAATAACAATAATTCATAGTAAAGAGATCTCGCTCATATCTTATCAATATCATCAAATTGTCAATATGTTTGTAAATTAATTTAATATGTTCAAATACACTATATTTCACCACTTTGATTTCTTTTTGATATATAATTTTTTTTTTTCTAAATTTAGGATATTTAACTACTATCACAGTTGTTGTGATGATGCATCTCCAAACCGATGCTGGTTGCTTTTTAGACGTCAACCCAACGGTTGACCTGACTGTAATTGTTACTAAATAAATCATAAGTAGTTCATTTAAAAAATATGTTTAGAAGTAAAAACTTTCTTATAAATTTTTTTCAATCCACTTGTAAAAGGCTTAATTTCAGATTATTATTTTGAAGCAATTTTGATATGATCCACAATTTTAAAGTTGTTTCAATTTCTCAAAGTGTGATTAATTAAACATATTTCATTATATAATTTTAAATAAATGCATAACAAAGCAAGAAATACGAGGAAGCGCTAAGCCGTGAGACGATTCGAGTGAGCAAATCCAATCAACGGCTTTCACGAACTTAAGCGATTGACTTAAATTAACTTAACGAAATTAACTTGAAGCTCTGCCAACGGTGAAGTTGTAGGAGATTCAATTTCTACACCTATAGGCGTATAAGTATATATATATATATATATATATATATATATATATATATATATATAATTTTGATAGATCCATACGTTTCGAGTCCCAATTTAATTCATTATCAATGGAATAAAACTACAAAAAATGATATAAGAAAAATATGTAAATTTGTCATGAAATAAGCAACATTTTAAAATAAATAGAAAGTACAGTTAAAAAACACATTAGTAAGGCTGACAAAACATATTTAGTGTGAGAATAAAATGAAATAAAATATAGAAACTTATCACACAAGTTATTTTGAGTCAAACACAAATGAAACATGATAAATTAAATTAATACTTCACAACAATATTAGTGAGAAATAATAATTCTGCGCATCAAGCTTCAAACAGTAAGATATGACTGCAGTGAAAATCGCTAATGTAAGTGTTGATATAAAGATTTATAAAAATGTGCGTAAACTCTAATCTAACAATAAGAAAAAAAAGTGTACACAAACATTTAAATGTATATATGTAGTTTTTATTTATTTATTTATTTTAAATATATCGCCCACAGATTACCTCCAAGAGGACTCAAAAATACAATTATTTTACATAATGAATAACAATTAAAATATATACAAAATTACAATATATGGTTATTAACATAAAATACATAACATAAAATTACATATAATGCAGAATGTAATAGTTTTATTTATAAACAGAATAAGATAAAATAATGAGATATTTGAAAAGAAAATAAAAAGGTTAACTTGTGCAGATGGAGATTATTTGATTAGATGAAGTGTTGTGAATATCTATTTCATTATTAATTAAGTTGAAGTTAGAAGACATAAGTAAAATAGGCGAATTTAAAAAAGAATTAGATTTAGGAGTAGGATAATTGAATAATAATTGTGAACGCGTAGATAGTCTTAGAACATTAAAAGATAGTTGGTTAAGAATAAGAGGACAGTCTATAGAATTATTGCAAAGTTTAAATAAGAACATAATTGTACAGATGAATCGACGTGAGGCAAGGGAAGGAATACCAAATTCTTGTAGTAAAGTGTAGTAAAGGGTAATTTTTATAGGTTTTCTAATAAAGATATTTCAGAAACTTTCGCTGAACTTTCTCTATCGCATCAGAGTTGTTAATTTGATAAGGATACCAAAAATCGAACCATATTCTAATTTTGAACGTACATTAGAATAGTACATGCAGAGAAGTTTTTTTATCAAATCAGTTCTATTTATTGGCTCTCCTGTGTGTTAGTGGCTAGAGCAATGAGAATTCAGATTCGATACCAGCCAGGTGCCTGGTATCAGTATCAGTATTGACATCGGTTTTTACTTTTAAATATAGTAAGCAATTTATTTTTAATTGAATATATTTCTCACATGATGTTACATCATTTGATAATTTATTACTAATACATAAATTGTTATAGAAAAAATTCATTACATAGACCCAACTATTTGGTTGGCAATCTATCGAACGAGGTAGTTGGTTGAATCAAATCATCGCAGCAGCTTATTTATAGAACCCTTATAGTTCTGATCGCTGTTCGAATAATATATATATATATATATATATATATATATATATATATATATATGAAGGTAACATATTAAGTTTGATTAATATTTAAAATCAAAAATTATACTCCTAGTGGAGTATCTACTGGACGTATCTACTAATATCCGACCGTAATTTTATCCCTTTCTCACATAACTTTAACAATTTATAAACATATTGTAAAATAAGTGAATGAAAAAATAGTAAATAAACTATATTAAAAATATGATTTAAACGTAAAAAAATAAATGCAGTTTTATCGTACATTGTTAGCGATGAAGGAAAGATCTGTGCCACATACAATATTAACAATTACAATATTAACAGTTATAATTTTGACTGCATGATATAAAAAGTAAGTTTACTATGTTCGCTAAAGTTATTATAGAACTATTAAAACATCTCTTCCAAAACCTAACAATGAATCTACACTGTGAAGACAGCGGAAATATAGATGGTGATATAGACCACACCAGCATAGAGCGTAGTAGAGTGCTCAATAAAACAGACGTCGAGGCACCGCCGGCGTACAATTAGCGTTCGGCGCCATTTTAAGCGTTGATTGTGTCCACAGTGCGGTTAGCTAATCGACGCTAATTCAGTTACCGCGGCGGGAGACGGGCACTGGGACCGGGATGGAAGTGACAGAACACGCTCTACGAAGACTGTTTTGCGTAATAATTGTCGTCAATTCAAATGCTGATTCATAATTGCTTTGCACACCGAATTGAGAAATTATGCGCCAGTATTCGCGGCAGAGTGGCGGTCGGATGTATGATGTGTGCGCGCCGTTTTGTGTCCCATGCAAAACGTCCTTGTTTGAGTTGGACAGCGAAATAAAGCTGTCGGACGTTGCGGGCTGGCATGATTTGCACAAAGGGCGCCCTGGAGTGTATCGTAAACACTGATTGATATCGTTTCCACACAAAGAGTATTTAATATATGTATATAGAACAAGTATATATTTAATGTATATGTACATATATATATATATATATATATATATATATATGTATATATATATATTCAGAATATTTTTCAAGACCTTGAACTCTATCACCATAAAATATTTCATCATGATTGTTAACAAGTTTTATTTCAGCCCATCTTCACCAAAAACCAATTAGTACGATTTGCAACTAATAGCTTTCGAACAGTTGCAATCTGCTCACAATTTTTGAAAACAACTTGAATCGAAATTTTGCGCTTACCTGCTAGTTAATAAAAAAGGATGCAGACAAAAAACTGATAAACGCAAATTGATTTCGAGTTTCATGACTTTTAAATTCTTGCAATCGGTGCAGACTAGTATAACTTTGTGAGATAATATTAAAAAGCTCAAATTTTGAACATTTATTATATTAAATATTAGTATTTTCCTATCTGACTTTTATTCTAATGAACATAAACTAAATTATGTAAAAATTGAGTCTTGACTCTAGGGCAAGTGTCATTATTTTTACTGTAATCCTGGAAATGGTATTTACGGTTACTATTTCAAAATTTGAAAAACAAAATTAATAAAATTCAACCACAATAACTGAAAAATAGTCGCAACTTCACTAAAGCTCTAAGTTGCACTTAAAAGCTCAAACTTTCTAAAGAACTAATGACATATATTTTTTTTAATTTTACGACAGTTATGTTAAGCGCTTCGGTTTGACTGAGACACCCTGTATATAATTCAATGAATCAATAACAGTAATAAAATTTTATTAATTTTATATTATAGGGGGAAGTCCCCGAGTGCCGGGCACCTAAGGTTATTTATAAATAAATAAAAAAATATTTTACGAAATGTTTATTAAATTATGATTTATGTTACATAACAAAGTTAGAAATGAAACTAAATTAACAAAAACGCAACCTTTGCTAAAAAATAATTAATACTATCAATCAAACATTGGTAACACAAATTATGATTATAGAAAGTGGCATCTAGTATCAGACATTTCAAAATCACCTGCATTGAACATATATGTAACCATCTCCACACTCTGGCATGTGTCTGCACATGTGTGGTTGACGAATATTCTTTGAAATTGCAAAAAAATCACTACTTATCCACCTTTTTGGCTGGGCCACGCCGATGCTCTCAGCTGGAGCATTATCATAAGATTTTCATTCTTTGACTCGGAAATACAAAAAATGGGGTATGTGGTGATCGTTAGCACTCATGCAGAACAAAATTAAATAATTAGAATAAATTACGACAATTCTCACAAAAATATCAATATGTTTACTGTCTGGCGTTAAGGAACGACTTAGTGTCCGGCGGTGAGGGACAGACATTTTTGTTCATTTGGTGGTACCAACTAAAATTGTTCAAAAGATCTAATAATATTCTACCATTGTACGGTTAACAATCAAGTACTACTTTTATCTTTGCATACCACTCAAATGTAAATGCATAAATATACTAGAATTACTTAAATGATATTTAGGTGACGCCGTGATTTAGCGCCTAAAACAGCAAAAGGTTGCTACCTCCGTGGCCGTGTGCGTCACAGTTGAGTCTTGGCGCGTGATCCTGCACCTATGTGCACCCTGCGACCCTTTCACTTGTATTTTAAAATAAAAAGATTCATACTCGTTCCCGTCCGGCGTTACGGGACTTTCCCCTAATTTAAAAGAGATCAATTTAAGTTTAAATATTTTTGCAACATTTTCTATGATAATTTTTTGACCACAAAAAACTAAAATGATGTCTTCACCAGTTTAGGAAAAACAACTCTTCGAGTTTAGGAAATGTTTTGCTAAACTGTTATCATTCAATTATAAAATCTGTTAAAACTACAAACTGATTTGAATAGAAATCAGTATCATAATGTGAAATATAAGTAAATGCATAAATTCTGTCATTTACTTTTTTTAAGAACTTGTTTTTGAAACAAAAGTATCTGCAAAACGTATCGTATCTGTTCTCAGACAAATATAGATCATACACACCAACTGGAGATATCATAAGTTATCATAACAAGTTGTGAAATAACACAAGTTCTCTAAGCGAAGACATTTGTGAAGAAGCAAGTATGTCCTAAGGCTTCTCATACTCTCATCCTATCGTTTCTTGTCATACAGTGAAAGTTGAAACAAAGTTCGGAAGCCGTTAGTACCGCTGCAGATGAATTATGTTAGGTATATGCCTGGAAATATCGTATATAATAGAGAAAGAGAGATCAATAATACTCATGAATACATATGTCGTTATAACAAAAGGATTAAAGGATTACTGATGTAAATTAATACCCTACTAATAGTGCTCATATTCTGATACACTGTGACTAGGTACGATTATTATTGAAGGCACTTTTGGATGCGGAATATATAATCCTAGTGCAGCATGTTATGCAAGGATAATGACAAACCAAACTTCGTAGGGAATTATTTATAGGTTAATCTAAATATCTCATTTTTCTTTTAAAATTGCTTTTCGGAAGGGACTCTGAAAACCAATAAAATAATAATTACACTTTTTTTTCAGAAGGGACTCTGAAAACCAATAAAATAATTATTACACACAACTTTTTTTGCATTAATTTTACATATGCTTGTGAAATTAGCAATTGGGCATATGACGATGTAAGTTAAATTAGACTTGTGGTATAAATTTTATTATATTTTTTTTAGGTTCTTATCAACGTTTTCATAAGATAACTAGGGTAGAGCGGAAAACAAAGACTGTCTAAACCAAAAACGCAAAACCCAATGAACTATATCACAACAACAAAAAACGTAAAAAACGGTAGAATTCCTAATCAATTTCTAATTACAGAAATGCTTTTTAGCTATTATGACAGAAATGCTTTTTATCTCTAAAATTTGTCACCTGTCCCTTTTCGCCCCATAGGCAAACAGATTAAGGGGGTATTCTAGTGTAGAAATTCAAAAAAATCTAATTTCTTTTATTTCATATTTTCAAAGTTCAACTATCTAAGAATATGGGTACGAGAAGGTTTTTGAAAATTTGAATAATTTTCGGAGATATAGGCATTTTACTAACTCGGTCTCGGGCAAAACTTAAAATGCGTTGTTCTCAGAACATACCTTTTCAGTACTGTTGACACGATTTCTCGAGTTTTAATCGACCGATTCACTTGAAATGTTCAGAGAGTCTTGTTTATAGACCTATCTATAGCCCGAACTAGGATTATCCCCAAATTCCAATTTTTACTATTTTAAAAAAAATCGAGAAACTCAAAAAACAGTAAAAAAAAACACTTTTTTCAAACAGTCCCCAATTTGTAAAAAAAATTATATTCATCGCTAGTTCGGGCGATTGCGACATCATTGTAGATCAATAATCTTTTTATTTTTTGCAATTCCGATGGCTAGGAGGGCTGAAATCAGGTCAAGACTGAAGTGCTAATTTTTTGAGACCACCCACTTCATTAGCTGCCAGTTTTTACAATTTTCAACTTTTTTATTTTTTAATTTTTGTTTTGTATTTTAATAATATTAATAAACAAGTGGTAAAAAAATTGACAGTAAAAACATTCATTGCTTTCTTTTACGACACTTTAAAAATCGCATAAAATCCATCGCTCTACACTAGAATACCCCCTTAAGTAACAGTGTACAATGTTTCAATGAAAAATTAATTTACTAAAAAAGACAAAGGACAATGTACGACAATATTTCGAAATCCCACTATGGTTGTGCGACCATACTATTTGATTTAACATTATTTGCACTGATTTTTCTTTACCACATAGAATGATTCGTCGCATTGAATAAAACGTGTGGTCGAACAACGCTCGAGTAAAATAACGAAAAAACTTTGTAGTAGAACGAGCGTCCGGTCTTGTGACATTGCCCGACAATAGAATTCCCCTGTAAGATGGAAAGACAGGTTACCGTAGAGAGAACACGGAACGCAGTCTCTCTATGAGAACTTAAACTAAGAACGGATGAAGATACATGCACCGCCATCATGATGCGATGATAGGATTCCCAAGATATTTCCTAAAAGCACAGGACCAAACTCTATGGGCAATAATAGAGATTTTCAAGGAATCATCGGCAAAAATTATTTAAGAAGTTTCAAGGAAATTGATATCACACTATTTTATACTATATTCTACTTTCCGACGGAGAAGTTTAGGTTTTCTCCAGAAATTCAGACTTGCTAATTTCAGGTTTTCTCGACGTTACCTTTTATTCTGAATCAGTTGAGGCTAAAATTGGAAAAAGTATGTTATTTAAAAAATGTAAACATTCATACGATGGAACTTGATAAGGACTCGCGCTGTTTTCTACAATGGTTGGCCAAGCTTTTTTTTATAATTAACAGTAGAGTGTAAAATTTTTCGTCTCTTATTTTTTAGCCAGAAGTAAGTGAATGAATTTAAAATCAAAATCTGTTTGAAAAGTATCAATGACATATAGTTAACACAATTGCAAATATCATAAGTTTGATTGAAAAATATTAATTGGAAATCGTATTGTTTACTATTATTGAAAATGTTAACTTTATTTTTACAA